AAGTCTAAATCTAGAGAAGGTTGAGAGTCTAATAGACTAAACCTAGATCCCAGCTAGGGAGCCTGAGACCAGCTACCACTTCTTTTCCCTTTGGTTGACTTATCTGAAAGCAGCTTCAGATACTGGTTTCTGGATTACTACTTCTCTGCATCAGCATGAAAGTAACAATGCTACTAGAGATGTTACAAAATCTAGCTAAGCAATTCTTTGAGGAGTCATCATGACCTCCCAGCTACTGTCTCTTAGGGCTACCCTTCTGTAGTGTTTGGGCTAGGAAACCAGGAATCCCATGTGCCTAGACATGGGCTGAACAGACTTTGGGATAGCACATAGCATCTACCAGTAATCCTAAAACCACTAAAGAAATTGTAGTGAAAGCAAAGCTCTCAATTGTAGGTGTGTCTAGTATGTAAGTATACATTTTCATCACTAGAAGTTTGAGGAGTCCCTTAACTGTAACAAGGCAATATTCAGGCCAAATATCATTTCCCTTCCTTGTTACAGAATGCTTGCACAGAACAGATAGGGGAATTACTTACCACACAAGTGTATTGCGTTACTAAAGAAATCCTTATTCAGATATGTTTTTGCTGGAATACCCCATTTTCAAAATGAAATTTGTATTGATGGGACAGGAAATTTGCAACCATGACCATAACTGTTAATAAGGTCTTTTTGGAACCAATTTTCATTCTTCCTTTTGTTTTTTTTTCACCACCACAAAATTCTCTGTGATGGTATTTTGTGTTTAAGGATTGCGATTTTCCATTAATGTTAACATTACCCATTTCAATACTTATGGACAAGCAAGGCTATTATTTTTTCTTACCAAGATAGGCTTTTTTCCTACTCTTTTTCCACAAAACTGTTAACCAAAACATTTTATTTCCATGAATTCTCAATATCTTCTCCTTTGATCTCCCAAAATATGAGATAGAATTATAAAAGGCTTCCAGAAGGCAGGAAAAGTTGATTCGAATTTGGGACTTTGGAGATAACTACATCTGCGAACAGTTTAGAAGTGTCCTTTCTTATCTGCAGTATATTTTTGGACTGAGTTCTACTATTTAGAAACTCTAAGGGTTAGCTGAGATGGCACAGCGAATAAATGCAACCAACAGATTAACTCATTTGCAAATTACTTATTCAGTGAAGCAAGGTTTGAAAGGAGGAGGTGGAATGTAAGCCTGGAATTGTGACTCAGACTCAGCTGCTTTCCTCAATTGCTCTTAGCAAGCCACAATTATACAAATCTCTGACTCAGCATTAAGAAGATCTTGGCAATCTAGTCTTCAACTTCAATAAAACATAAGGATTTTAAAGTAACATTATCTGTATATTTATAGCAAATAGCTAGTTGTATCTAAAAAATGTGTTAGTATTGTAAGCCAAGATAAATCTGCTCTGACATCATACCTGCACAAAGCAGGGGCTGTCCACTTTCAAACAAAAGATTTTACCCCATAAACAGTATGCCGGGAAAGCTTCCACTGACCCTTCTAGTCTATACTGGGACAGCAGGCCTGGGGCCATGAATTTTGCTTCATGACAAATTGTATTATTACTGAGCTGAGCAAGGAAGTGTAATGTAAACTAGCCAAATTCTGAATGGGCCTCCTGATAGCTTTAGCTGCAGTACTGCGGGAGAGAGCTGAATGTCCAACACTCATATAGCTCGTTATCTATACACTGAAGAAGAATAATCATACTCCTTCTCTAAAGAATATTCAAATTAAAAAGCAGGAAATAGGGATTTTAACTTTGAGACCATTTATTACAGTTTATAGAAGAATACCAAAAAGCTACTCATTTAAGTTTTCTATTTCATGCCCAAGAGTCTTAACAAGAAGCAAAATTCTCAGAGTATTCTTTCCAGCTGAACTGCAGTTAGACAGCTAAATCAGTAATGCAGTATAACATGGTCATATTAACTTGGTGAAGCAGAAAAGACCATCTGCATCACCATGAATATGACTAAAATAGAGTGCCAGCAAAAAGCATTTAACAGTGTCTAATGCCAGAAAACCTTATGAATGGTATTTTTAAGAAGTTCAGTGTAATTGATGAAAAAAGAATTATAGTATTTGTTTCACTTCTGATGCAATAAGCTTTCAAAATTTATTTATAAACTGCTTTACAACTCAATTCTATGTGCATTTAAAAATAATAAAATGGTTTTTTATGTACTTCACTAATTTCAACTGTGAGAAATTTGTTCAAGTATACTTAGTAAGTTAGAAGAAATATGCATGTTCCCAAGGTGCACTCTGCTGAATATCACTGTGCAGATTGAAAATTGGCACCTCTAGCTGTTGTTTAAAACATGCATGACTCTGGTTTTATGTAATAGAGATTTCTGTCTACTGTACTGTTGTGTGCATATATGCATTAGAGTAATAGATTCAATGCTAAATATTTGGAATTCAACAAGATTTTTCAGAAATTGTCAAGGAAAAAAAAGGAAAATTGTTACATGGATTTATATTTTAAAGTAGGGGAAAAAAGGTGGAAATAAATGGCCAGATTTCTAAATACTGAGATGTTCTCATTACAGTCTCACAGGTTCTTTACTATTTAATACCTTTCCAATTACTTGGATAAAAAAGGTGCAAACAGCAATGTGAGAATGTTTGCGGATGTCACAAAATTTTATGATACGAGATTTACAGACATATCCTATGATACTGAGTGGCCAAGTGATAAAACAGCAAACGAAATTTTTTACAGACATAATAACAGAGACTAAATTGTTACCAATCAAGAAAGAAATCTCTCAGCTGTTGTGAAAATATCTTAAATTAACACAGACTAGGAAGACAACTCAAAAAGGCAATCAAATATTAGGAATTATAAGGAAAGGAACTAAGATCAAAACAAAAAGCCGTTATGTCACTGCATTAATCCCTGAGTCTGGGAGTAGCTCAGGCCACTGTCAAAAATGATTACATTAGAAATTAAAAGGAACAGAAAAGAGTGAGAAGGATGATCAGAGGTGCGCAATACAGTTACACTAGCATTCTTCAGCTTGGAAAAGAGATATACAAAGAGGAATGCGAGATGTATGAAAAGCTATAAATATTATCGAGACTATAAAAAGGGAGAAATTATCAGCCATTTTTCATATCATAAGAACTAGCACCCTCCCCAAGGCAATAGGTTTATAGCAAGCAAGGGAAAGTACTTTTTCACAAAGGTATGCTAAAATTATGGACCCGTTTCCTATAGGATGCTTTGCAGATCAAAGTACAACAGTGTTTCAAAAACACTGAGACAAATTCATGGAAGAAAAGTACACCAAACATTCAGTTTGTGGTTTGAACACAATCTCGGGCTCAGAAATTTTCTGAACTGCAGGTAGCCAGAAAATGAGTAAATTTAGTGGGAGAAATAACACAATGCAGTGATTCTTAAATTCCTTTTCCGCGTATCCACTACTGGAAAATATCAGAGGTCCAACAGTGTGCTAGGTGGACCCGTGGTGTCATCTAGTATAGCAATTTTAGGTCTTACACAGGTTTTCCTTTAAGAAGAGCAGGGTACTCTCACTTCCATTCATTTAGAATTCAAAATAAATTCAATACTAAATACATAGGACATTAATTTTAAAACATTAAATGATTAAGCTGTGCCATCAATTGGTCTACACTTACTGTTGGGCATAGGCATCAGTGAAAGACTATTTCAAAACATTTCAGTATGGGATGATAAATTTCAATGCTAAATATTAATGAAAGTTAGCTAGCTACAAATATTGGCAATTAAAACTGACCAAAAAAAAAAGAAATCTTATCACAAACAGAATTTCTTATCCTGGTAAGAAGGAATAACAAGACATTTCAAGATGTCCTCTGAGACATCATTTTGCTATTGATTCACTGTGGAAAACACTCATGTATCAAAGTGATGAGTCACAAGAAGCTATTAGATAAGTCAGACTGTTTAGGCAATGACATCTGATAACTTCAATTATTTCAAGTATTTTATTTTGTAAATTTTTTTTAGCATTTCTTTTCCTAAACTGTTTACTATGTTCTCTGTACATTAGAAGTCCCTGTGCCTCCATCTGTGAGTTGTTTTACATAATACCTTAAAATATTTGCTATCTGGGTTTGGTTTTTTTTTTTAGAGGGACAGTCTGTAGATTTTACAGTTCTTTCCCTGTATTTTCTTTATTTGCACCATATTTTACACTTCCTCTTAGCTACTGATACTTCTTACCATTACACAAAGTTGTTAGTTTTCCACACACTCAGAATAGCCTACCCTGCCATTCAATATACCAAGCCCAACTAAGACCACACCCATGCAAATGTGTAACAGATAATTGCATTGTATAGGTGCAACTGAGGCTTGAGAGCTGTGTCGCTGTTTATTTCTCCTGCGTGTTCCTTTACTTTTTATTTTAAATTCATTCAAAATAAGTGTTTCATTTAATCTTAAAATGTAAGTATTGGAAAGGATTGTGGCAAAACTGATACACAATTTATTTTTCTTTCCTGAAGGATTAGCACTGGTATCTTCATATTTAATTTCTTGCCAATAAATCATCAGTACACTTTTAAGCACATGGAGTTACACTAATAATAGAATCCACAAATACCTATTTCAGGATAACAGCTACCAAGCAAAGTAGTTCGATGTGTTCTAGCAGTCTTTTATAGGTGAATAGATTTTTAATTTAGAAAGGACCATCAGAACAGATAACCTTATCTTTTTTAAAACAGACTGTAGAATCAATGCTGCTATCCCTATTCCAAGCTCAATAACTTAGGTCTGACTGAAGTATGAAATCCTTTAATACCATGACTATAACAAACTTACAGCTATGTAATATTTCCATATTTGCACATTCCATTGCTAAGCATTGTAATTATTTAGGAATAGGTCAATTATTTATAGCTATTATTATGCATTCTGACTGTGTGTGAAAAAAGCAGATTTTCATGACAAGAAACTAATATGCAATATTTTCTCTTTTGTATGCATTTACATGTAGGCAGACTTTTTGGGTTACGACTACCTGGATTGAGACTTTTAACGTACAGAAAACAGTCCTTGCCACAGGAAGACCCTGATGCAGTAATAGTCGATTCATCTAAGCACAGCGATGACTCAGTGGCTATGAAGCACTTTAAATCACCTACAAAAGAAAGCTGTAGTCCTTCAGAAGTGGATGATACAAAAGCACTGATTCAACCCAGTAAATGTTCACCTTTGGTTAATATATCAGGACCTCTTGACCATTCATCACCCAAACAGCAATGGGACAGACTTTACCCTGACATGATACAGACAAGCAATCCACTAACCCATTCCAGATCAAAGGAAAGCATTTGTAGTATACGGAGAGCGTCTTCAGTACATGACATAGAAGGCTTTAACATCCATCCCAAGAACATTTTTAGGGACCGTCACGCAAGTGAAGGTATGGTAGAAAGTGAATCAGTATTCTCTGATGTACTAAGAAAAGAATTATTGCAATTTTTCATAGTAATTATCGTCACTTTGTAAGCAAAGCCAAATATAATCAGCTGTATACATTCGAAGGCACACTAAAAATTTTAAGGGCCCAGGTTTATTTACACTAAATACTGTTTTTCACATCTAAGCAGACCAATGAAATCATGGGGTTGCTCTTAGAGTACCATCTGCCTTCTGTATAGGGATATAGCAAAATCGGGACCAACATTCCTAAAGCTAATGTTGGTATTTGGGGGGAAAAATATCAGGTGATCAAGTTAAAATTGCATGCACAGTTCTGTCCCATACTCACATATATTAGGTTGTCTTTGACTGTATGAAATCCTACTTCAGAGGTTGATCAGTTTATTTTTCTTAAATGTGTAATGTGTACATTGTATATTCACTGATCCAACACTGAGACGTGCTTTTTCTCTCACACTGGAGAAAATATCCTCAGCAACTCCATTGAAATGCTTTGTGTAATGCTTAGTGAAATACTTAGTGAAATGGTGAAATGCTTAGTGTAAAATTCATATAAGTGTGATTTTTTTCTTTGTGTTAGTATATTCTTGCAACCAGCAAAATTTAGAAAGATGTTTTCCCTGTCTTCTTTTTCTACTGTCTCTCCTAATTACGCAAAGTCATGGAGTGTGGTCCATGAGTCCTTGCTGGAGACAGGGAGCTTGAGAAACTTGGGAAACAGCTTAGCAAACAGAAGTTTGAAAGCCCTGTGAATGGAGAGGCACCTCTGAAATTGGCTTTCGCAGAAAAGCGCCACATATATAATGCTTTTGCAGCTACTAATGGTCTAGTGACTTGAATTGAGTATTTTTTATTCAAGCCAGAATGACAAGGAATGTATATGGAATATTTTAAGATTTAAAAAACATATGTCATGGAAGACTGTGCACATAAATTAGCAAGAAAATGAATTTTCATTTCCAGTGATTGCCTGTTTTTCTCCTATTCATTAGCCACAAGTGTAAAATTCCTTTAAGTTCTCCTGCCTTTTGGAAGGTCCACATCAAGGGTTCTTTGCTTCTATACATCTCCTAAAATATAAGTCCGAATGCTCCTCTGCCACCCAGATTAAATCCTAGAATAGCAGAACTAATTATTCCTTCCAGTTACTTTTCCTGTATTAAAATGGGTAAATACTTCTTTTCTCATTTCTGTTTCTTTTGGACTCTGTTTTTTTTCAGTTAAAATGAACCTGAAAATTCTATTAAATCCATCCTAAACCATACCATCTTGCTATATTTCATGTTCACATTCAAGCCAAGATTTTAAGATCAGGATGCAGAGGCAAAAATCTCCAAGGTTGAACCTTGGCATGTCTTTTGGATCATTGCATAAGCTTCATCTTAGTTTCAACTTCCCCAGATATTTAAGCTAACCTTTCAAATAAAACACATTTAAAGATATCTGTTTTATCAATTTTATTTTCAGAACTTATTCTCATTAAAGCACTTCCCAATTGGTCATTCTTCTTATAGTTATACGATGAAAATGTGTAAAAATCAGTTTGAATATTAAGTTTCTTTGGTTATGGCGGTACAAAGCTCATGCAGAAATTGCTACATAATTTAATACTTGCTGCGTGGAGGAGCAAAAATTTCTAGCTCTGTTTCACTGAATAACATTTTTCAAATGTTAAATACTAAGGAAAATGAATTTTACTTTGAGGAGTCAATAATGCATTTGAATTCCTATGGCCTCTCACGTGATGTGCTCATTTACAGTGTAAATAGATAAAACACAGCCATTCTGATTTCACTCTGCATAAGCTACAAAATAGTAGAGAATCTGGCCCTAAGTTTAGGTCTTACATACACATTCTAAAAAAGTGCAGCAGAACAGAGAATTGCTCTCAGAATTGCATTAGAATTAGTAACCATCCTTGATGCCATCTGCTTCCAAGCATATTAAAATCTGGCACTTTATGCTGAGAAGATGTTTCAATTTAGCCAGCAAGTCCTGCTTGCCTTACTCAACAGTGAGCCATAAAACCCTATTGTTGTTATAAAATTATCTGTGCAAGTTAGGCAACCAGGATTCAGCCTAAATCATCTTCTCTGGTCTCACAGATTCTGAGCAGAAGCTGTAGATACTGTATTGGAGAATGTAAAGCCCTAAGTAAAAGTAAAGTACAATAAGTAAAAGTAAACTACAGTCCCAACGGCCTAAATTATGGGGCCTTTGATGTTGCAAAATGTACTGCCCAAGGAAGCATAAGGTTTAATATATTTCTATTCCATTTTTATTTTGTTTATTGATCCTAATAATTCTGAATTTTCCTGAATCCACTGAAAACTACTACTCTGTCTGAAAATGCAATTCAGGATTCAGATTTAATTTTTTTCCACCTCTTCCAGTTCAATAATATTAATTGAATCAGCATAACAGAATTCTGATAGAAGAGAATAATATTATTTAGCTCAATACTAGCTACAGTAATTCACCCATGGTCAAATTTTTTTTTTTTGAAGATAAGGCAGTTGAGAATATAAATTATTTCATGTGTTAAATTAATTTATGTAGCCTAGTTGCCTATCACTTTAAAATTACCATAGCTGTGGCCATTATATACTAAAAGGTATTACAGTAAAAATGACAATTTAGGATTTAAAATTCATTTGAGTGTACCCAATTGAATTCCATTCTAAATTTGCCTATTTGACAACAAAAGCAGCAGGGCAGGAACTGTGTCTTCCACCCACGGCCCAAACTCCAGCCAAGCCCTTCTCACCTGAAACTCCAGCAATCCAGATTTTGCAGGCCGGTACAGGTTCACAGGGACTCTTCGGGAATTTTATTGTCTTCAGAAAGTGACCTCAGTAACATCCCTGCAGTCTTCTGAAAAAACAGCAGGCTTTTGAGCCTAACTCAGCCTACAAAATCTGCATTATAGCTACAGACAACTGGCATAGAAAGGCATCAGGCTGAGAGAAACTAAACACTCTCCCACACCTGTGGTCCAGAGGGCCCAGCTCGATTGCTCCCCAGTGCTTGGGAAGCTGAGGAAAAGCCAGAGAGGCAGCAGGTGTGACATGATGCCACAGACAAGGCCCAACGTCACCTTCCCTCACAGGAGAAGGCCATAGCCTTTCTCCAGAGCGAGGCTGAAGCAGGCCCTCTGCAGGGTCAGGGCTGCTGCTGGGGCAGACGGGGCACAGCCACCTCAGCCCTCGGAGGCGGCCTGTCAGCGGGGGACAACTGCAGGTGAATATCAGCTTGAGCCCAGCGCACCTTTGAAAGCTGGTAAGCTGGTCACGGTGGCTGGCAGCACCCAGGGGCAGGGCCGCATCCTGCGCCTGGCCCCTCGCTCCCTGCCAGCCCCCAGGGCCATCGTCTACCCTCACGCCCCACCGAGCTGCCGCAGCCGGGCAGGGACACAAGGCGAAGGGGGGGCGGCCTGTGGGTCATGTTGTACACCCATAAATAGAGATGGCATCTACCTATCCACCTGTGTGGCTTCTTTAAAATAATAATGAATAATAATAATAACAAGAACAACAACAATAATAATATTCTCCCTAAAGAGGGAGAATATCCTCATGAGAGGATTCAGGGCTGGGTGTGCCTGTGAGGACAGAGAGCTTTGCCTCTGTTACCTTGCGGAAAGGCACCTAAGAGCTGAAGAAAGGTTTAAGGTATATCCTTCTCCAGTATTTACGGAGAAAGGCGCTGCTCAGCTTGCTGCCACAGTAAAAACCTTTCCTCCTGTGAGTCCTGAGCAGGCACGGGGCCTTGGGGGGGTCTGTGCAGGGTCACCTACACAGCTTCACACTCCACACAGCCAGCCAGCCTTCATCACTGCCCGCAGCTGTGGGTGCCTCAGCCTCATTTAATTACGTGTGACTAAATACCACTTTGTGGGTTAGCACTTTTGACCTCCAACCCAGCACCGGACTTGTAGAGAAACAATTTTGTCATGTTACGTTATCTCTCAATTGTCAAAGTGACTTCATCTTGACTAAAAGTCTACATAATATAATCAAGGAGGTGCAAAAATATTTCAGTTCAAACCACATACATATTTTGAAGCAATATTATCTGCTTTTTCTGATGTAGATTTTAGTTGTCTTTTTTCTCTCTTTTTCTTCACTTTTATTATGCTGAAAACCAGACAATGGTCGCAATGTCAAAGGTAAAGTATACATCTAGACTGTACCTTCCAGTGTTTCAAACAGCCACACTTTTTGGCATGTAACTTTGCCTGCTGTATGAAATGTTCAAATGCAACATTCTCATGCTGACCCCTCTAGGGTCAGGTGCATTACTTAAATTATATTTGTTAAACACTTAGTTATTCCCTTAACTAACTACCAATCCCTGGAAAAAGTGAAGGCATAGTTAAACGGTCATTTGACTTAATTATCTGTTAATTCAAAAAAGAAGGGAGGGAGATAGAACAAGTTATTTAACTCAGTGCTGTTGTCCTTGAGCAGGCAAAACTTCTGTTGAAGCTACCAGGAGTTTCACCTGCAAAAGGATATATAATTGGGTGGGGCCACTAACAAACCATCCATTGTTATAAGGTGCTTAGTTTTCAGTTAACTGTCTCAAAAATAAAATAATTGGTAATCAGGAGCCTTGTGGAAGTATCTTCACTTATTCCTCTTTTGTCTCCCTAAAACTAGTTTCACGTTCCTGGATGGCAGGGGGTATGGTTTCAAGCTTCCTGTAGTATTAAAATGTGCATGCATGAACTTCATTGCCAATTTCATGTCTAAATAATATTTAGTGCAGTTACAAAATTGTTTCTATTCACCAGCACTGAGCTACATCTTTTAGAAGCAATTTTAACATAATTCTTAAGTGACTTCCTCAAGAAAACAATTACTAAAGTGTTGAGTTTAATTGCAGTATTTGTAGCTATGTCTGAAAACTGGTTTGTGACTTCATGCATGATGCAAAAAGTGTGTGTATCTGGTAAAGTTGTCTTCTAAACTGCATGCAGTGCATGACCTAAATTCTGTAAAGTGACTCATGGACTACGAAATCATTGCATTTGCTTCATGTGTATGTTGGCAAAATCTTGGGGAAAAAAATGCAGTCTCTGTACTGTAAAACAACTTTTTTTTTTTACAGTATTTACTGCTGGTGAAAGATGACGGATTGACAGCTCAGGAGAGTGAAATCATTTCTCAGTGCATTGTGCAAGCAGGGACAATGGAATCCTACCATAAAAATGGGGGACTCAAACTTAACCTTAAAGTATCTCTTTTGTAGGATGGGCAGAAGCATGTCATTCTCCCTGCTTATTCAATTCTTTGCCAGTATGCTGAAACTGTCAATCAGGGTGCCAATTAGTGTCAATTGTGATTTGTTATGGACCTCTTTTTCTGCTTCCTGCTATGAGAGTATAGCAAAGGTCTACTAGCTGTCAAGTATCAGCTCACTTAAACTAGTAATGTCTTTCAATTAATTACCATTATCAATGAGATACATATATACCTTTCACCACTTTCTAAAGCAAAAGAAGGTGGATAAAAAAAGCAAGGTTTTATTCTCATGTGCAATTAACTTAAGTCTAATATCACACGCTAGGGCATAAGTCTTAGGTAGCGAAGAAGAGAGTAACTCCCTTTAGAATAGAAGCAATAAAAGATTTAAATCCCAGAAAGCAAAACTTCAATGCAATTTAAACATCTGTAAAGTTGCTGTAAAAAAAAAAATCTTATCTACTATCTAATCATGGATTTTCCTAAGCTCCGTTAGTTTCCTCTTACCTTTGAGTTCCTTAGGTATCAAGAATCTTGTTCATCTGATAAATGGCCCCAACTTGATAGCCCGCTCATGTCTAAGCCTACTCAATATTCAAAACCTATTAATTGCTATGCTACAACTATGTAGGGAAGTAGAGCTGAAAAACTGCAGTCTGACCACACATACATAGCACATGCCAGCCAGATTAGCCACTTACTGATTTGTGAGGAGATTGTGAGCCCTGATGTATTTTGAAGACCTTTTTTTAATAGACTCATGTAGATGATGTGGAAGATAGATTCAGGTCCTACCTGGGCCAAAAGGTGTTCAAGCACAATATTCCAATTCCTTGGTAGTGTCCTCAGTACCAGGCTTTTTAGCATTCCTTGGGGGAGAAAGGTAGTGCTTTCTTCCTTTTTCCAGTGAAGCTGTTCCACAAAGAATATACTAGGTTCATTGGTCTAAGTAGAAAACAAAGGAATGATTTTGTAGTTTAGTGGTTAGAGCACTCACCCACAAATTTTTCTTTATCTTACATCAAATGATCATTGCACAAAATACAGAAGGTCTTGAGAGCGGAATCACCAGATTGATCTCTCCCAGGGGAGCACCTGATCTGTTAGTCTAGAGCATCGTGCCCTGCCTTATCATCTTGAATTCCTTTCTGCACAGTGGCACAATTTGAAATGGAGTAGTAGAGGATTTCTATCTCAGGCCCAGATTAACATATAATTAATGTGAATTTAGGAGGTAGAAAGAATGTGTATAAATCCTTTTAAGCTAAGAAAGCAAATTAAAAGTCTGGTTCTTCAGCAAGCATTCTAAGCCAGGTGTGAGGGAAGACCAGCCCTCACTTAAAGAATTTTACCAAAAAAAAGAAAAAAAAAAAAAAGTAGAATTCAGCACTGCCTGAAGCATTTCCCCACAGCTATCTCCAGGCAGCTGGTTAGTTTGAATTTCATTTGTTCACACATTGCAAATACAATCCAGCTGTTCCACTGTTGACTTATTGACTCTGCAATTTACTTCATAGGCATAATCCTGACCCATTGGCTGTTCCTGAATCTTAGCGCCTGTTCTTGTTTCCCTCCCAGGAAGACAAAAAAAAGCCCAAAAAACAGTAGAAGAAAAAAACATCACATTATTGCCCCTAATAGAATTAGGATGAAGTAAGGTTCTCAGGTGGATCTGAGAAACACCCTGCAATTCCACACTTCAGATACATTGTTGCTGACTGCAAGACCTGGATTTTTTTCTTAAATCCATAACCGGATCTAGCTCTCACTGTCTAAACATCTGTATAATTCTTTTTTCCAGTATTATTCTCAAAAGCAAATTTTCCTTACTATGAATATTTTTGGCTTCTGGACCAACTTTATGATGACAGTACAAAATAAGTATACTGATCAGTTATATTGCTTTCTTCTTTACAAAAAACTCTGTCCAATATGAACAGAATAATTATAATGGATATGTACCTCATGAAGTATACAAACTCCATATTTGTTATCTATCATGATACACTAAAGTAGTATAAGATGTTTAAGTGTATATTAAATACTCCATTAATATTCTACGTATGGGTATCCCTATTGTTTTTAATATTTTGTTGGTAATGACAATTGAAGAAATACATTTTGTGAGTTTGTGATACTTCAAAATTAAAGGCTTTTAGGACAATGTTAGGTTAATATTTCCATTGATTAAGTATGGAGTTACTTGATGAGTCAACAGGGGTAGAGCAGGGGTCTACTCAATTTCCCAGTTTACCAAAAGGCATTTTTGAACTATCATGTAAGCATGAGCAACAGTATGGATGTGATAATAGATCCTTTGTTCAGTTCAGACACTCTTATATAATCATGTGTCCTACTTCTGCTTTTATAAAAAAATGAGAACATAGTCTTTATATTCAGACAGCATTATAACGGAGCATACCAGCATACCCAGTAACATGAAAACAAGTAAGGATGGATGCATTATGTACTTTGCAATCCATTAACTTTATAAAAAATATTGGGGACTATATGTAAAGGAAATTTCATTTTTAAATCCAATACTGAATTTTATTCTCATTAGCAATAGAGTTAGTTTTTAAAATGTAGATAATTTTTACAATTAACAAGTAGTATAGTGAAAAATAGTTTTTATCTACACTTTTAACATATCCCACTTGAACATTAGTAACTTATTGCTCTGCATTTGTCAAGTACTAAATGTGTGTTCTGATTTTTCAGGGCCTTTTAATCATATCAAGTCAAGTCTGTTGGGATCCACATCGGATTCAAATCTCAACAAATATAGTACAATCAACAAAATTCCTCAACTCACACTGAACTTTTCAGATATCAAAAGTGAAAAAAAATCTTCGTCTCCTCCTTCTTCAGAGAAAGCAATTATTGCACCTAAGGTGAAAGACCGAACTCACAATGTAACAGAGAAGGTTACCCAGGTAAGGTAGTACCCATTATTTTAGTTCCTTTTCAGTTTTGTGGAGCCAATTATCGGTGTATTCAATAGATGATTGTTACTCTTTTCATTAACGATTTGGATATCTCCAAGACAATTTGAAGAGTTTGAGCCGTTACTTTACTTCCAATTCAGTTGCACATGAGGTAGTTTGCAACATTAGATGATACTGCTAACAAACAAAACTTTTCAGGTCTCTATTTTTCAATGAAAAAAAGCTGTAGTATGCACCAAGTGCCCCAAATAAATCCACTAATTTCAGTGATTCCTGTCAGTCATAAATGTTAGTTTCATTCTTTTTTCTTTTTCTCAGCTTTATGAATTGTTCATTAGTGCAAGGCACAACATGATAACAAATGGTAGGTAATTGTGCCACTGGTATAGGTGTCATAGTTACATCTTGTAATTTCTTTTCCAGTTCTTTGGCTTTTCATAATGCTCTTTCCTGTGGGTATCTTTTCCATATGTGTACATCAAAAAGGCTGTCAAAATGAAAAGCAGATACCTTTGGACTGGATGTATGATATATTCTGTCATACTTGGGAATGAGGCATACAATTGAAACAAAACTGAAAACAATTCAAGATAGTGTCCTCTGAAGGCAGCAGAACTTTTCAGCTAAATTCAGTGTCAATATTACATTTGTGTTGTAATGTCATATGGAGATTGGCAAGGACAGGCTACCAGTGTGCAACATACTGAAAAAAAATATTAAGACATGATAGTATCCCAAATAACTTTTATAGTCTTAGTAAGCAGAGGGTTGGCCCTTAAATGCCCATCCACTGACAGACTGAAAGAGGTTAGAAGTGCTTTGTATTAGAATGCAGATAGAGATTCCATAAGGAAGGTCTTGCCAAGAGTAGCTTTTGACTTACTGCTGACCTGCCTTCCATAGACAAGACTGCAGCTTCTCTACATTGGTACTATGCCAGATATTTTCCATGTTCCTCCTCCGTTTGATGGATATAAAAAGGAATGTATTGTACACTCTCCTAGAGAAATAGAGATAGAAGTTCTATCAGTTCTATCTTGAGATCAGTTAGTACTTAAAAAGTAATTGGATTTTTGTCTTTCATATATTTTATCTTTGATAGCTAACTTGAATCTGCAAGCATTGTACTTTCTTCTCTGGTCAGCTGTGAAAGATTTAATCTTTTCTGGATCTATTTTGATATGTTTTAAATTATTCACAGTAGTTATACATAGAAATCTTTTCACAAATAATATGGCAAAAAGTCAAGTTACATTAAAAGACTAATTTTTATAAGTTATGTAAGCATACATCAAGCTTGACTGTTTTTTTCAAAATTCTGACTGGCTAATTAGTGCAGGAGTGCCAAGTTTCTATGTACTAATGACACTGTAATGGGGAAAAAAAAAGAAATTTTAAAAGTCTGTTTATTCTCTGAACAACTTGGATATTATGAAAAGGTCCTATAGAAATGGCTTGGATCAGCTAAACCTTCCAGGAACATTGATACTAACTAAATTCAAAATTAAATTTGAAATGCTCTACAAAATCTTTACACTTCACAGAAGACTTTCAATTTAATTTGACATTGGATTATGTCCTTTTCTAGATCTCAACCAATGTGCAGAGTACCATTTGTGTAGCAAACTTTGATAATATACCATTCATCACAATTGGAAAGAATTCCCCACAGCTGTTCCTTTCTCTCTTATTATATTCAGTAATCAATGTTTTTAGTTGCTGCTGCAGCCTAAACTCTAGGATTAGGTACAGGGAGAAACTCCTAGGAGATATAAATAAATGTAGGTCTACTGAATTCAGTAGTCAAAGATCTAGTTAGCTAGTTATTCATGAAATAGAATAGAAATAGACTTTTAGAAGATGAAAGTGGTTAGTTCTAGTCCTGTTTATGTTTCTAATCCCCAGTGATTTCAATATGTTTTATAAGAGTCAGTACTTCAAAGGTTCCGCTGCATGTCTGCCTGTGTCTTTAAAATCTAAATCTCTTTGTAAAACTTGTCATAGGACCATAGATCCATTTTGTATCTGCAGAATAGTGGCAAAGTGGTTTTGGAAGGTTTGAGCACAGTGTTGAGAATAGAATTTGGCAGAAACGTCAGATGAGATAATTAGGATTTGCTCATGCTGGCACAGTCCTCTGATATGTAAATCTGTGAAACAGCATCAAAAATATACAGAGGGCAATATGACCTATTTAATCTATGAGACAATATCATTAAAAGAGCAAATGAGTATAAAATGGCCATGATAAGTTAAAAGGTCACCCTTAATCAGAGTAGTGACATTCTGAAATAGTCTTCTAATAAAAGAAGTTAGGGCAGGAATTCCAAACGTCTTTGGACAGAGCCTGCAAAATGTAGTAAGGGGATAGATAACGTGACGCACTTTTCTGGGATTGCAGGACTTGGTGACATGGAAGGCCACTTCCAGTCACATATTGTACCATTCAAACATCCATCCATCTCTCTCTTTGTACTCATCATTGTGTATCTCTCTCCCTTTCCTTTCCTCAGCTTTGCTGAGAAATTTGGTCCTGCTCCTACAACCTGACATTTCCACTACTGTGGCTTCTCTCACTGTGCAACTCAAAATGTAGAGACGTAGACTCTGGTGTGCACCACACTAAGGTATCAGTGAGCCTCACAGTTGGATCACTGCACTCTGGATTCTCTCTCATGCATCAATAATATCAAACTGAGTATTAACATCACAGGATACAGGAACAAGTTCTTCTTTCCAGAGATAACAGCTGTATTACTTCTATCATATCCACAAGCTGAAGAAGTAATTCAGGTAGCGAAGACAGTGAAAAAGGAGGGGATGGCACATCGCTATCTTCAGGTAGAGGAAGAATAATGAATAAAATAAATTAAAAAGTCATGGCCATTTTGTTTAGAGGAAGTGATATACTTTCAGAAAGCATTTAAAGAGGAGTAGCAGTAAGATTTTAGTGGAATAAATTAGGAGCAGACAGGAGAAAAAAGTTTAGAAAATAATTTCAGAAGGAACAGAAGATATTGTGGGACAGTGGTTGGTACTTTGAGTGAAAAATATGAACTTTGACATGCAGGTGAAGAAAACAACATTTCACTTCAGAATTTAATAAATAAATAAACAAGCTAATAAATAAATTTTAAGTAACACAAATAAATTAATCTCTTCAAAAAGAGCTAGGTTATAAATTCTACTGCAAAGACCCTTAAAATACTGTCTTACTATGTAACAGGAGTGTTCAGGACATTATGTAGAGATAAATATTGCCTTAAGATATAGGTTGCAGTGAAGTGCTGTACATATGATGGTCCTGAATAAGTAGATACCCCTATCTCTTGGTCTTTCACCTGTGTCTTCGCTGACCAAAACTCCTTGTGTAATGTAGAGTAGCATAACATCTTCTGGATGCCTGTTTCTGCATAACATTGACTTTTACTGAAAGGAATAGCCCAGTAGTAGCTGCCAGATAGTCCTTATAGAAAAATTGGCATTGTCATACCCTGGTGTAGATTTTTGTCACTGAAATTAAATTTAAGTTTCCATTCCACTTTACTAAAAGGGTTTTTTTTTAATGTTTCACATTATAATTTCCAGAGGTGCTAAGCTAGACTCTCTTCTAGAAGAGTCTCAACTTACTTTTATTCATTATTCTTTTTTTTTGACAGTCTATTCAGGGGGATAGTCCAATTCCTGCACTCTTTTGCACTGACAAGTTCAGTTGGGGTCCTGACACTGATTGTTAGAAAGAGACAAGTCTTCCCAGAGGCACAAAAAGTAGACTTTTATCAAAGAAAGCAGTGGGGCAAAAATTTGATATCTGTCCCTTAACATTTTTGATTAATTCATAAAGGGGACTGCTGGCCTTAAAATTACAGCATAGAGGTACAACAGTAAGTGATTTTATCTTTTGTTTAAATACTGATTTATTTTAAATCTTCTTACACATCCAGTTCCCAGTGATGTATGGCTCCAAAGCTGTGAACTCTGTTGTGAACAGACTCAGAGCAGCATGAAGATTAGAATAGTCAGTACCCATGCTTATTTTCAAAGAAAAGAAAGAATTCCTGAATACCCATAAATTAACACTGGCAACAAACAATGACTGGCCCAGTTAACAAACTTATAAATTACTGATCTCCTTATTTTGTGGTTTAAAAAAGACTGTTTTGTGGCCCCTGATCATTAATGTTGAGAGATTACTGATCCCCTTGAAATTCATCAGTCTGTTGAAATACAGCATGTGGTTGAAAGACCCAATATGTATCTGTTGTTTATGATTTGTCTCAATAGCTGACTTACAGGAAAGTAAGTCTATGCCCTTTAAACTTTTGTAAATACTATTCAAACCAGTTTCATCATCCACCCACCTGTATGAAATACATATACCCAAACTGGTTATATGGCTGATCAAATCACAGAATCATAGAATCAAGGATCATCTGGTCCAAGCTTTCTTGGCAAAAGCACAGTCTAGACAAGATGGCCCAGCACTCCATCCAGCCAAATCTTAAAAGTGTCCAACGTTGGGGACTCCACCACTTCTCTGGGGAGATTATTCCAATGGCTGATTGTTCTCATTGTGAAAAATTTTCCTCTTGTGTCCAGTTGGAATCTCCCCAGGAGTAACTTGTACCCATTACCCTTCAGCTTCTCCATGTGATTCCTTGTAAAAAGGTAGTCTCCATCTTCTTTGTAGCCACCCTTTAAATACTGGAACATGGTGATGAGGTCTCCCCTAAGCCTTCTTTTCTCAAAGCTGAACAAACTCAGTTCTCTCAGCCTTTCCTCATACGGTAGCTTCCCAGTCCTTTGATTATCTTTGTGGCCCTTCTCTGGACCCTCTCCAGCCTGGCTACATCTTTTTTGTATAGCGGGGACCAAAACTGAACACAGTATTCCAGGTGTGGCCTGACAAGCACTGAGTAAAGTGGGATAATGACTTCTTTACCTCTGCTGGTGATGCCCTTGTTGATGCAACCCAGCATCCTGTTGGCTTTCTTTGACATAGTAGCACACTGTTCACTCATATTGAGCTTGTTGTCCACCAGGACCCCTGGGTCCCTTTCTACAGAGCTGCTCCCCAGCTGGGTAGATCCCAGCCTGTGCTGCACTCCTGGATTATGTTTTCCCAGGTGCAAGACCTTACATTTGTCTTTGTTGAACTTCATAAGGTTCTTGTTAGCCCAGTCTTCCAGCCTATCCAGGTCTTCCTACAGGATGGCTCTCTCTTCTGAAGTGTCCACTTCCCCACTCAGTTTGGTATCACCAGCAAACTTCATCAGGGTATACTTGATCCCATCATCCAGATCACTTATGAAGATAATAAACAGCATTGGGCCCAATATTCATCCCTGGGGGACCCACTTGTGACAGGTTGCCAGCTTGAAAAGGAGCTATTTACCACCACCCGCTGGGTGCAGCCTGTCAGCCAGTTCCCCACCCCCTGCACAGACCACTTGTCTAGACCGTAACACATCAGTTTCGCTAGGAGGAGTCTGTGGGAAAACGTATCGAAAGCCTTGGAGAAATCCAAGTGGACAATGTCCACTGCTCACCCCACATCAACCAAGCAGGTTGCTTTATCGTAGAAGATGATCAGGTTTGTTAAGCATGACTTGCTCTTGGTGAATCTGTGCTGGCTTTTCCCAATCATATGCTTCATTTGACTCGTGATACTTCCCCGGAGGATTCATTCCATAACTTTCCCAGGGACTGAAGAAAGACTGATGGATCTATAGTTTCCTGGATCCTCCTTTATGCCCTTCTTGTAGATGGAGGTGACATTAGCCTTCTTCCAGCCTTCTGGGACATCCCCCAATCTCCACGACTTCTCAAAGATTATGGAGAGCAGCCTTGCAATGACATCAGCCAGCTCTTTTGTCACCCTCGGGTGGGTATTGTCAGGACCCATCGATTTGTATGGGTCAAGCTCCTGTTATAGTTCACATACCAACTCTTCCTTCACTGACAGTGGGCCTGTGTTTGCATCAACCTAGATTTTTGTTCCCAAGGCCCGGGGCCCAACGGTGCTGGTAAAGACAGAGGTGAAGAAGGTGTTGAGAACCTCTGCCTTTTCAGCATT